TCGAAATTATGGACTGTTTGTGATGTTGTGCGCATTGCAAACGTTTGGGCATAGAAAAATGCGTGTGATGTACATACTAACAGAAATGTATTCCTTGGATTGGCTCTGTGGAATGTACATACGAACGGAAACATTTAGCGGGGACTGACTGTGTGGGATGTACTTACGATCGGAAACGATTTTGCCTGTATAATTGTATTTTTTAGCACTACTGTATGTATAACCGTATTTGAGCGCTCGTCGGTCACACACGACCTCATTTTGCCGAGCGTGTGTGCCAGGAGGGCATATCCCCAACGGTTTCTAGGTCGTGTGGGAAGGACCCCCCTATCGCAGTCACTCACTTGGCGACGGTAATGAACGCCGTCGTGGAAAGGGGTCAAAAATCGTTTGTATAGCACCAATGCGTACCAGTGCAAGCTGGTTTAACCTAACAAAAGCAAGGGACGAATTTGAAACAAGGTGAAGGACAAGCACAAGCGCAAGCAACACGAAGGCAGACTTTGATGTCTCCTCATCCCGCATAGTGGCAGTGGTAGCAGGGGTCCTCTTCCTGCTCTTTTGGAATTTCCAGACCTATTTTGATGTTGTTGATTTTCTTCCTTAACTGGTAGGTGGCGTACGCAACTATCATTGTGTACTCGATGAGGTAATCTGGCAGTGGGTTGATCCCCCACAACTTATGGTCTTTCTTCCTATCGATCTTCTTCTTCATTCCTCTGTAGAATGGGTGGATGATGCTGGCTGCAACATCAGCCAAGGTGTCGTACTCTTTTCTGGTGTTTGGAACTCTCCCGTTGCGCTGAATGTCGATGAAGTTGTTGGGGTTGATCTCCAAACCAGACTTCTTCAGCATCTCTTTGTCATCTTTAATGCTGAAACCGACAAAGGTGTATAACTTCTCCTTCTTCAGGAGCTCTTTGAGGCGCATGGGCCTGCAAGGGGAGACAAATATTGAAGATTAGTGTTCTTTTTTCAAGATTTAATTCTTCTATTTTTTTTGGTTTACAAGTGATGAATCCATGAGGTAGATGCTTATATAGTATAAGTCATGGATGAATGTAGTTCAGAAACTAGTACAAAAAGTTTTGAAATTAAATTCAAGTACACCATGCTATTTTTGTTTTTGGTATCTTCAGTGCTTCACCAAATGCTTCACCAAGTTCAAAAACCTATACCAGAGTCAATGATCTATGTGCTGCTTAGTGCGTGTTTAGTTCTCTTCTGCTGAATAACAGAACCTAAACCGGTGCTTCACCAAGTTCTTACTTATTTTTCTGCTGAAAATAACATCAGACCAAGTTCAGAAACTACTTTTGTACATCAAGTTCAGAAACATCTTTTAATACATCAAGTACAGAAACTGCACTGGTGCATCAAGATTAGAAACTACAGTACTACATCAAGTTCAGAAATTAATCTTGTGAAACAATTTCAGATGCTATGCATCAGGTTCAAAATATATTATAGTGCATCTACTTGAGAAACATGCACTAGTGCATCCACTTCACAAACTAGAGTAGTACATCTAGTTGGGAAACAAGTTTAGTGAAATTTTGAGGGAGCAATACTAATTAAACAGGTGAATGAAGCGGGCGAATGAGTAGGATGGTTCACCATTTTCTGGCCGCGGCGATGTGGTATACATTGCAGAGTTCCTCCATGCATAACTGCAAAACTGCTGCCATCTGCGGAGGTTTATCTTTTATGGTAAACTCCATATCGACGCCGATGAAGCTAGGATACAAGCCGCCGCCCTTCATCCTGAGCCTCCTGATCAACTCGTCATCCTTGTCTGGTTCGCTGGTGCAGATGACCTCCAACGTTCCTTGCCGTGGAGGTCCACCTTCTCCAGCGTGGTGGTGTAGTCGAGCTTCTCCCCGGGGACGTGAACATCGTCGAGGTTGCTGCTCTGGTCGGACGTCTCGCCATGCTGACGCTTGGCAGACGGTTTCTCCTCCATTGCCCTCCTCCAGCGACTGTGGGCTTCAAAGAGAGGTGTTTGTGGGGAGTTTGTAGTGGAGATGGAAGTGACAATGGTGGTTTTTGGAATGAGGCAGGGATGGAGTTGAATGGGGCTTTTTGAGAGCGTGGTTTGGGACGTGGGGGAGGCGGTTCGTCACGGTCGTGGGGGTAGTGCTCGTGAGGCGCCGTTGCAGTCCGTCGTGACAACCGCCCAGTGGGTGGCGCGGGCGGTGGCCTAGAAGAGCGAACTGTCCAATCCAATTTCTTTGCCAGGGTATTCATTGGTCGCACTGACTAGTCTTGTCAAGGTGTACTTATCGGTTGTTTTTCCCACTTGCACTTCTCAGGATCGTTAATGATGGCATTTTGTACTGTTTGAGTGACGAATACTTTGTGATGTTTTCAGTGTGGAGGTTTAGTTTAATTTTGCACTGAAGTCTTATACACTAGTTGAAGTGAACACTTCTTTCAGTGCACTGTGGGTTGTTGCTCAAAAGCGAGACTTATTTTATTTTCATCTGTCCCAACCTAAGTTAGGCCTTTATAGTTTTTGTACCCTCTTCTTAGTGTACTTATGGTTTAGTGTTGTGATACTGAATTGTAATTTCATACATCGTAAGGCTTTGAAAATTGGTGTCATAGTGGTGCGTGGATGTAGCGCGAGTGGACTGGCCCTTCCTGGTTTTGTAGTACTGTTGTCATATATATGTTTGAACTGAAGTTTTTTTGGGATTGAGATTATTTACGACGAAGTCGTTAATTTAGCTCTAGCCAGATTTTATGTAAATAAGAAATTAAGCAGAATTGACAAACAATATTTCTTTGAACTTCTTGCATTTTAGAGGTTGTGCTTTTGGTCTTCGGTTCGAAGGGTCGTTTCTAAACGGTCCTATTGTATGAGTAATTAATAATGAAAACTCCTGATGACATGACATGTTCATATAGCCAGCAACTAGCTATATTACTAATCATGCTCTTAGTGCGGTATCATAGGCCAAATAATGAGTTGACATTATATTGAAAGAAGAGAGAGAAGGGAAATGTATCGTAGGCAAAGTAGTGGAGACACAACTCTTAGCTTGTTTCCTTGTGTTGTGTAATTAACAGTATGATCTGATGTGGCTTATCTCCCTGTTTTTTGCCCGGTCTCTTCTCTCCATAACTAGGCCACACAGTTGACATGCCAATATGATCCGTAAAGCAATTATGCAATATGACTTGTACAACACCTCACTCACAATGCATTATGATGATTGTCCTGTTCTACTAACTATCATTACGTGTTATGAGTCGATGCATTGAGCGTGCCCTTACCCTCCACCACAAAATGTAAAAAAAATAAAAAATTATGATGACAACTAGTCTTCTTTGGTAAAATAAATCAAATAGTACACCAGTTCTATCCCAAGCCCGGTGAAGTAATAGTCCGTGGCGACTTCATCAATCCCAGTGGAAAGAAGTCAACTATAAAAGCGTCTGTGATGACTTTATCAGTCTCTATGAAATGCTTATACGGATAGGGTGTGAGATGATGAACAATTACGTCCGTAGTGTGTTAAAAAAAATCGAGTGTAACGGAGACACAATTTCAGGCAGTACCGACACCTGAAAGCCGCACGCAATTAAGCACCGCACCCCCGGTGCATATCTTAACCCCCACCACATGACCCAAATCAGATGCATCGCTACGGTTATGCCCTGAACAAATGACATAAAAGCTAAACGCAGCTATAGTACAGTATGTAAGCAGTGCAGAGGTATTATTGTGCGGGGACTACGAGCAGTATGACGGATGTGCGCATCCTCCGACCACGAGATGTTTTTCCATCTCGTTTTGAAAAAGGCAGTACTATTAATCAGAGAATGTGCATTGCAAAAATAATAATAATAAAAAGAAGAAGAAACCGACATTCATTCATCGGTAGACATGTGCGCGAACACAAGAATGGCTCTCCGCTCGTTATCACCGTATTCCGACGAGACTGTAGAATGTCGACCCGGTCAGTCCCGGCCCATGAGGGGCACTGAATCCCCACACGCATCCAATCCGAAAGCGAGACGAGGAGGAAGAAAAAATCCATCCTGGAGAGAGAGAGAGAGAAGGGAGAACAAGAAGCCTGTCCCTCCGGCGAGACTCTCCCTGTCATGAGCTCCCCCTTAAAAAATGGGTGCAGTGCAGTGCAGTGCTCTACCTACAGGGAGGGACGGAGAGAGAAAGCAGAAAAGGATAGGGAGAGCCCAAACCCTGGGGGCATGGGGGGAAAAGAATCCCAAGCGCACGAGCTCACACAGCCTTTTCAGTCCAACAAACAAAATCAGATCCATCAGTCTTCTCCTACAATATACTACTACAACCAAAACCTACATGCATCTAGTACAGTTAATCCCATTTTCTATAGTCTGTGTGTGTGTCAATAATAGTGAGTAGTACGGTATTAGTAGTTCTTTGTGCGTGTGTGTGCTACTCTTTTAGAAGTGGTGGTGTATTTTATGGAGTAGTAGTAATACACGTAGAAACAAAAAGCGTGCTTCCTTTGACTCCTCCACTTGCCCTCCCCTATCTATCCATCCAGTACCACGGCAGTCTCCTAAGTGTCATTTTCTCAGACTTGGTGATGCCTGCCCCTCCTAATTAAACAAGCGAGATAATAACCTCACATTCTCTCTCTCTTCAGTTTCTCTCTCTACCTTTTTATACAAGCAAGAGCAATAAGGAAGGACAGCACAAGAAACCAATTCATCCCTGGTGTCTCTCATGTTAGGAGGTTGAGAGATAGAGATAGAGAGAGAGAGAAGTACTAGTAGTAACTCCAGTACTAGAGACAGATACAAAAGGAGACATCACACCACCCCCCAGCCCAGCCCAGCCAAAGCGCAAGCATTCCCAAGCAACACAACACGGCCGGCCGGCCTCCCAAGAACACCAAGAACCTTCCTCCGATCCTCCCCTTTCCCGTCCCACCAATCCGACCTAGGTGTCTGTGCGTGCTAGCAAGGCACGTACGCTCCGATCGGGGCGCGCCGGTGGCCGGGAGATGGAGGCCAGCTCGGCTGCGTCGCCGGACCTCTCGCTGCACATCAGCCTGCCCAGCACTGGGCCGCCGACGGGCCCGGGGGGCGGCGGAGGCGGGCGCGGGCCTGTGGGCGGCGGAGGCGGGGATCCCTGGAGGAGGCTGAACGGGTCCACGGCGTCCACGGAGCTGTCCTTGTCTCCGCCCCTCCTGGCCGCCGACCAGGAGGGCGCCGCGCTGCCGTGGCGGCACAGGCCTTCGTCGTCGGCTGCGGCGTCCTCGGCCGCCACCACGTCCGCCCAGGCCGCGCTGATGACCATGCCGATGCTGCAGCCGCTGGACGCGGGTGTCGGCGGCGCGTCGGCGGCGCCGCCAATCCGGGGGATACCTATCTACAACGGCGCCGGGGGCTTCCCGTTCCTGCCGCCGGCGCCTGGGGGAGGAGAAGGGCACCACCTCCCGAAGGTCGGGTTCTACAGCTACCACCATCCGGCGGCGTGGCCCTCCTCCCTGGGATCGACGTCGCCGTCCTCTCTCGGGCCGGGGCCGGCGCCACCCGCGAATTCCTTCGACCCCACGGCGGCGTTCCTGTCGTCGGCCGCGCACCATCGGATGCTGTCGGCCTCCGGAAGACTAAACGGCATGCTCTCCGACACCCTGCGTAGCTACGGCGCCCCCGGCGGCGGCGTCGGCATGGGTCTCGGCGGACACCATCATCATCTCCACGGCGCGCAGCCCTTCGGGCTGGGGTCCCGGTTCATGCCCAAGCTCCCCGCCAAGCGCAGTATGCGCGCGCCCCGCATGCGCTGGACCAGCACCCTCCATGCCCGCTTCGTCCACGCCGTGGAGCTCCTCGGCGGCCACGAGAGTACGTACCACTACCACCAAACCAATCTCTCCGACGCCGACGACGAGCGCGCGCGCTACCTACGTAACGTAGTACCTTTCGCTGATCAAAATCTAACCTCTGGCAGGGGCGACGCCCAAGTCAGTCCTAGAGCTCATGGACGTGAAGGATCTGACGCTAGCGCATGTGAAGAGCCATCTCCAGGTACCAGCAATTCTGAACCCCGATCCCTCTAGCTTGCTCCCAAATCCGCGGTCTCGCGTCTTCTTGCAGCTCGTCCCGTTCTTGTTTGGGTCAGACAGGAAAGCCAATGCAGTAACTCCTGAGTTAGTGAAGAAACTGCCATTCTTGGAGGTAGTGAGAGAGAGTGAGGCCAGTGTTTGGGGATGTGTGTGCGCGCGAGCGAGAGAAAAAGTTGCCATCATTACTCAATAATGCAATGTATGTGCATCTGTGCGCGCCTGCCCACCTAGCTAGCGTGTGTGTTCGCGTCTCGTCTGTGTGCACGGCCCGAAGCGCTCACCTCCACGAAGAAAGAGAAGCACAACTGCACAGGGACGACGAGAGAGAAGAACAAGAGAGAGAGAGAGAGAGAGGAAAGAGAGAAAGCTACTGGCTAGGAAGGCTCCAAGGCGAGGGCATTGGCATCATAGTATTTCTCCTTGTCCACTTCCGGGTGTTGCCTTGCGCGCCGATCCATCTGCTGATCCATTTGCTTGTCTTCTTCCCACCTCATCAGTCCTGCTAAACCGCGCTGCAATCCTTCTTGTTTTCTTGCTTGTGATTTTTTGCCGTTTCTTCTCACTCTGCTGCATGCCCCTTTCAGATGTATCGAACCGTCAAGAGCACTGACAAGCCTGCGGCCTCAGGTAATTCGCATTGCCATCCCTCGTCAAGAACTCCATTGCATCGCTCTTGTCTACACCTCGCCTCTGCTTACTGGTAATCAATGGAGTGGTGGTACTAATCTATGACGCTCCTTGGGTGCATGGCTGGCACTGTGACCTCATTCAGGCCCGACCGACGGCGGCTCCGGCGACGACGACTTCCCCAGCGCCGGTGGCCAGGTCGGGTCCGGTGGCGACAACAACATGTGCCCGAGGCCGTTCCCGGAGCACCGGTCCACCTCCGAGGGCGCGGCGAGCTCCGTCGGTGGCGGCGGCGACATGGACCAGTCCTCGGCAGGGAACGCCAGCACCAAGTGGAGCAACTCCTCAAGGTACCGTACCAGCTCAAGTCACATGACAGCCTACATGTGAATGTTGTGCACACATCATCAGTTTCATCACACATACCCCTCCATCGTTTGTTGTTTCACGCCTTTTGATCTGCTTTTACACATATCTGTAGGTAACAGCGTAGAAGTATCACTAGATAATTAATAAGTAGTGTGTTTGGTTTAGTTTTTGTCGTGCTTAATTGCTCGCTTAATCCCAAAGAAACACCACCAAACAAACTTTTGTTTGTATGGATTGACACCTGAAAAAGTTGGGAATATTTAACCAGGCTAACATTTGTACCAGTAGATCATCTGCTGATGGCTAAAGCTTAAAAGAATGTTTTGGGGGCACACACACACACCTGGAAGGGAAGGTACACACAGGGCTGCCTACATCTATAGGCGGCCAATGTTGTGTCACGGAAACGACCAAAACATCACAACCCCCAAGACCACCATTGACCTCAGCAGCCACAGCTTCTGCTCTTTGTTTTGTCTATGTAGAACTATGATATCACCCGCAATATTTTTTTTTTGTAGAACTAAGATATGAATATATGTACTACATAAATGTACACTACTAGTACGTATATTTATATTTTTATACACAAAGATATACTACTATATAAATATATAAACATGTTGTGTGAGTTTTTGTGTGCGTAGGTTCTTGGGTATTGTCCATTGTCCTCTTCTCTGAGTGTCTCTCTCTCCCGCGTCAATCCTAGGGAGGTGGCTAGGTAGCTCCATTATCTTTTCTTATCAATGCATGGCTCTGATTCCAGGGTGGGTGGGGCTTTGACCAGACATGCTCTATTGCCTAGGAATATGTAACCAAGGACTTGCTGCATTCTTGGTTCTTTCCACCTCCCTCCTCCGGTCACTTCAATGCCTTTTTTACTCCTATTTCTTGGCCAATTGTTACTAACACGCCACTCAATTGTTCCTTAGTAGATATAGTATATCAGCAGAGCCATGATTGTTTTCTTGGATAGAATCATCTATTTAATCTTCATTGCCCTAATTTTTTTCGCCCTTTTTTCAGCCATTTCATGTATTTTCCCGTGTAAAAATTAATGTAGCCATGCTATTACAAGCTAATCTATCTTTTTTACAAAATGAATTTGCAAATGATATAGGTCTATACTCCGTGGTATTAGAGTAGGTGTAAAATATTATTTAATTAACAATCTTTCCATTTATTTTACTATTTCCTTGCTTGTCGAGAACTTCAGAAACTGGCTTTGGTTTAAATTGCAGGAGAATCATAATTCATAAATTAATGTCTTTTATATGGCTACAAGCCAAGGACTGTCACAGTGCATAGGTTTTTCTGTATGCTTATGGAAAAATTAATTCATGGTGACCAAGTGAACATGCATGCAACTATTTTCCATAGAGATATTTGGATGTACATCACTGCAAAAGTTTGTGATTTTGAATGTGCTACGGGCCACTAGAACGACAAACTTGTGTTATGTCATTTCAATTTTAGGCTCTCCATCAAATGCTCCTTAATTATACTTCTTATCCTAATTTCATCATGTAGTCAGGCATGTAAAAACATAATGTGTACTTGTCTCAAGAAAAAGGTAAAAAAAAATGTAGTGGATGCATATTGATCTGTTTAAAAAGAAAATTCATGGTTGAACTTTTCCCCATGTTCCTGCCATCTAGAACAACTTCCAAAATGATATTGTGCTTCATCAGAACTGATCCAGACGTATATAAGTAGGTATATATGTAAATGTAAAGTAGTGGCGTATCTATGCTTGATATTATTGACATGCAAAGTCTGCGGTCCCTCAATGTTAACAGTATATGTTTGTTCCTATCAAGACAAAAGCACTTTAAAACGGTTTGGTGCTGGGTTGTTGTTATATGTTTATAGAGTAGTGATAAAGGAAGGGCACTTTCCTTGATGTCCCAAAATCATGTGTAGACTGAGAAGAAAAGAACTGTCAAATTCATGATCTCCAACATGTGGGTCATATATAGTCATACACAAACCTCTCTCTCTCTCTCTCTCTCTCTCTCTCTCTCTCTCTCTCTCTCTCTCTCTCTCTATGCTCAAACAGTCAAACGTTGTAGTGTACACTGTACAAGATACAGGCATACATAGAACTCTACATTTGCACGTGCATAAAGAACTCCAGTCATTAGATATGTGCAATGCACCAATTTGAATTGTCAATGTATAAAGAGTCCTCTATAAAAGCCAAGAGCACTCTTCCTGAGTGTGTTGTTACTCAAGTACACGGAGAAGCATTAGATTCTTTGCTTGTGTGTGTCTCTCTTTACCTTAAAATTCTTCCCCGCAGCAGCAGCAGCAGCCTGGCTTGCTGATGAAGATGGGCTCGCCTGTACATGCCATTGCACTGCACGACTGAACCAAAACCGGAACATCTTTTAAGAGCTTTTCTTGCCTAGAAAGAAGCTATATGTGTAACGAACCGATCAGGAAGAGCAACTGTTGTTACTCTCTTTAGCCAAAGCTAACTATCTATACACTGGGCAAGTATTGTTCATCCATGGTATGCATGTTCCTATCTGCAGTGGTAAACTTGCCATACATATATAGATACAAGCATGCCCAGTTGTAGCAAGCACTTGGAGAGACCTACTTTTACTATTTGGTCAGCCTCTTGATTTGGAAAGCTGCTGGTAACTGATCATCAACTTTGCTAATTTGGAAATTCGTTCTCCTTGTGCATGCAGGGACCCATGGGTGTCATCTAATTCTTGCAACATGGATGCTCATCGCTCCATTGGACTGTCTTCTCCAATGGAGGTACGTACGTATATGCATGAGCCCATTATTCTAATATGATGTCTCAAAAGACATGTATTTGCACATTTGCATTGGTTGCTACTTGCTACATGCATGTTTTTTGTTGATCCATGTGTGTTGTGTGTCTGTTACAACAGAACATGGAGCCCTGCAGATCAACCGGCTCGCAAGTGTCGAACCACGAGCTGAGCAGCCCGAGCCTGGAGTTCACGCTGGGGAGACCGGACTGGCATGGCGCGGATCATGACTAGCCATTGAGTCATCAGATCGACAAGAAAAACCTAGCAACGCTAATTTTCGGTCCAAGATAGTACACCGGTACTGATCATCTTTTAGTTGAGTTTGCCCCGGCCCCAAGTCCGTCCGCTTCCGTGAAGAAATCAACGGCAACTTCAGACATATCGCTCCGCCGGAATAGGAGAAGCACCCAGCATGGTCGGGAAAAGCTATATATATACCGGATTGATATCTGTTAGTTTAAATTCGAGGTTTCTTTCTTGGTTCCTATATATGTTTTGCCGGCCGGCCCATGCATGCATGCCTTGTACTCCTAGCTAGCTACTCCTAGATAGTAGTTTTATTATCTTCTCTTGGGCATCTTTGATTAGTTGTGTTCCCTTCTTGTGTGGCGAGATCTATTATAGTTGCCCGGCGTGTGTGAGTGACTGAGTGGTCGGTGTGACGTTGGTGCAAAGTGTAGCGTGTGAAAGGAGGTGCGTACGATGAGCACATGGAAAGTTGGAAAGGCCAAGAGAGGAAAAAAGAATGAGTTGTGGTGAAGCAATCTGTGCCTTGCATTGGTGGTGTGCATGACGGAATGATTTGATCAAATCAACGATCCCTTTTGCGCATGTTTCTTTCCTCTTTAATTAAATCCCTGCAGGTGCTTGCTTGCTTGCTTTAGTCTTTTCTTTCTTTCGCCTCCCACTTGGTCGTGTCAGCTGATCACCAAGCCACGGACATTACCTGCCTGCTTGCTCTTTTCCAGCACCGCCCAAGTCCAGTGTGAAAATGTGGATCGCCCGCTTGACCGCACCGCATCAGCTTAATTAATTATAAACTAGCCACATTAGCGCACATGCATGCATCAAAAGCCGATTAAGATTGCAAAGCAAAGCCAAGCAAACCAATCGATCGTCGTCGCCTTGGATCGGCCCCCGGGTACCTGATGCCTCATCCATCATCGATTGCTCCCTGGACTGGCACCGTGGTGGTCCTGGTCCGGCAACTGCGAGAACCGGCCATGAACATCGTCGCAGGGCAGCGCATTGATCGGCCCAAGTACGACGCGCCATGAAACCCGCCGCGCGCGACGGGGACGTTTCGCGCAACCAACCGCGCATCCATCTCTCCCTTTCCCAGCTAGCCAAGCCACCACATGCCGAAATGCGCATCAGTAATGGCTAGGCTACGGCACGCAGCATCTGGTCACAGGTGCCGCAGGCGACGGCATGAATACATGACCATGACAGCAACGGCCGGGGAGGGGGAGGTGGTAGCACCTAAGCTAGCAGAGAGAAAGGCCTTGTGTGATCAAGGGGACGTACTCCTACGCGTTTGGTGCCAACTCGGACATTGATGTATAGCTAGCGGCCGGCCCAGTGCGTGTGCGTCGCGTGATTGGTGAGAGGATGCATGGCGGAGACGTCGTCGTTGAAAGATCCTATAGCTGGCTAGCTATAGCTAGCCCTGATTCCGACTGAGCCGCACTGGGCGTGAATGGCGGGCGGCCTGGAGTGGAAAGGATCGGCATCGGCCATGCACCTTCCTTGGCAAGCACGATGAGCTTGACAGGTTTTCAAAGTTGTTGATTACTGGTAGAGAGAACTTGTTCCAGGTGCGCGGAGCAAAAGGAAGGAGGAAATCCCACCACACTATACAGATTCAGTAGAAGAAGCTGGCCATCTAATCAGATGAGATGGAGCATAAGCATATGGAATACATGCATGTCAGTCACCGACAGGTAGGGCGGCCAGGGCAATGTGCAGCTCGGGCTTTGCCGGTTCCAGTTCCAGGGAAGAAAGTCGGTGTTCATACTAGTTACTACGTACTACCTCAGGACGCTAGCTAGATAGATAGGGAGGATAATCTTAGGTAAAGTGGCCACCAGACAGACAGGACCGGTACTAATCGTTCCTCCTTCCTGCAACGCGAGGCACTTTTGATTTGACAACCATAGGACGGACTCACGCTCACTCACTGACGGACTGACTGAGTGACTGATTGACCCAAATGTTTTAATGTGCAGGTAGGAGTACCAGTAAGCCTCAAGCCACTGCAATCTCCCTGTCCCAGTACGCACGAGCACCACACTAGCTAGGCTACGATCTCGATCAATCTTCGCCCACACATTTGCAAGGAGGATAGAAAGAAGGAAATTCTTTTGGAGCAAGTGAGGCGAGGGAAAAAGATGAAAAGGAAGGTCCCCTACTAGTAGTACTGGCCAAGAAGAAGAGAGAGATGTGGGGGAAAAGAAGGAAAGGGCGGGGAGGAAATGGGAAAAGGAGGGAGAGCCCAATCATAAAGCAATGGATTGCAAAATCATTTTTCCCAGTCCCCCCATGTTTCTCTGTCTCCTCATTCAAGTCATTCTATTGTTCCCTCCTCTGTCGGACCTTTTGCTCAGCGTCTGACAACAGCGGCTCAATGAGGGGTGAGAGAGAGAGAGAGAAAATGAAAGTGAAAATAAAGAGGGTTTGGGATAGAAAAGGGGAAGCAGGCAGGCTGCGGCACAAAGGAAAAATAAAGAGCGGCCCTGTGCCTGCGCGGCATCTCCGTCCGTTTTAAATGCCCCGTCCTGGCCCGAATACTCTCTCGCTCGCGCTCGATGGAAATCTCTCTTCCGCTCGCGCTTCACGCCGGAAC